CCAGTCGGAGGAGTGTGGACAACTGGGTTTGCATGAAATTGTTCACTTTAATCCAATTAGCTGGCCAAAGAGATAAACGGTTTTGCTCTAAACTTTCGAGTGCATTTGCATTTTCCCACTTGAAAAGGGGATTATTCTCGCCACAATTGCAGGGTTGGGCGGCCTGTGCGTCAGCCGGGCGAAGAGTGTGTAAGCGCACTGACGCGACGGAAGTGGAGGATGCCACTTCAATCGTTCAGTCAGACTTGCCTCGTTCTGTTGTGTGATTTCGAAGAGTCCCCTTTGGGCGAGACGGAAAAAGCATAAAGAACCGTGTGATGGGTTTATGTACAGTCCGGTCTGGACGAGGCGACGCTTCGGCGGTGGAAGGGTTGGATGCGAGAACAATGCGCCAGGGGCCAGGAAGTAGAGCAGGTCTCAACAGGTCTCGTGTCTACAAAAGAGGTTGTTCGGCCAGGATGGCCCTCCCCACTCCCCATTGTTGGGCTGGCCTTCACTTCGGCCACTTCGGTCCGCCGGTGACGACCGTCCAGTCAGTCGAGTGAAAGCTTATCTACTGCACAGAAACTGGCGTATTTTTCGTCTAATTATAACGCTGCTACTTGCATACGTTATGAGTAGTCTGCGAGAATGTCAGTAGATCCGGGAGAAGAGGTGAGGCAGGAAACCGATGCAAATCAGCCCTTGATGAGGGTTGTCAGTAAAGTCCCAACAACAGCGTAATCCGTGGCGTTTACGTGGTTCTTATGAGATATAAAAGGTCAAATGGCTGTTAAATAGATCGGCCTTTAGTTTAGGAAGAAGAGAAGTTGCAGATTTTCACTAGTTTGTAGGCAAGAAGTTGATTAGTAGAGCTGACGTTTCCATTCAATTTTACATTGGTTTGCTTTCCCAAAAAATGTTTTTATCCAGGCACCAGTCGACTGAAGTTTCGACCTCGCATTGGTCTTGTCAACACCCCCAGCGGGAGTCGAACCGTGACAGTGCAGGATGGGAGCTTGACGCGTTAACCACGAGTGACGTTGGGTCACAGGGCGGATGTGAATTTCAAGGAAGGCCAGGCCTTTTCGCGTATCACATTCTTTGGTGGGATTGCCGATGAAGCAAACGTATATTTGCTATAACAATCGACTACGATACTTATTTTTCATATTTAAGTAGAGTTTCGAGACTACCAGTAAATCAGTAGTATGAGATGTTTTCACTCAATTTCGTTCAAGGTGGAAATGTCAGCTCTACTCATGTCATTGTGGGTGAATTCTTTTTCTACCAGTCCTTCATCAGCTTAAACGAAATAGAGTGAATATCTCTCATATTACTGACTTACTGGTAGTTTCGAAACTCTACTTAAATAAGAAAAATAATAAGTTTATTAGTCCACTCGGTTCAAGGACTATTAATTGAGTTGTATCAAAAATGAGGCAAGTAAGCGTCACAAATACTTGATTTCATACCGGGGCCCTTGTCCAGCCTGGATTGGGCCGGACTGCATTTTCAACCTCGCCTCACCGTTTCGCGTCAATATCCCCAGCGGGATTCGAGCTTGGCTCGTGAGTGTCCTGGCAACGTTTATCACTGCACTCCGCTGCCACAAGGGCCAGTGGATGACATAGCAGATTCCAACTCACATTTTGTAGTGGGATTTTTACTTGAGCAAACATCCGTTTTCAATTTTAATAGACGGCGCTACTTAATTTCGATATAAGTAGTTTTCGGGAATATCAGAAATTCGTGAATTGGAGCTCATTCGCCTCAAGTCGCTTGAGGCTGTAGAAGGACTATAGAAATAGCAGTTGAGAAAGCACCGGCTTGCCTTGAATGTCGAATATGACCCTTGAGGCCGTGCAG